TGAACCTAGTGAATATAGATTCATAAATATACCTACATATATATATATATATATATACATACATCTCTCTCATCTCTCGAACACTTGGCGCTTTAAGTGTACTTTGGGGATACGGTGCCGTTTGGTGGGAGTTATAGAGGTGAAAAAAAGATGAATTTTGCGATACGTAATTTATCGACCGTCATAAACAATTTAACAGTCGGTATTATAAAGAGATAAACAAATAAAATTAAGTAATCGTATCAAATAATAAACTGTTTATTCTCGGAAATTTCCTCTCATCTCTGAACCACCTCGCAGTTGTAAGTAATGATCCCGTTGCGTGAGAGTTAGGGGGTCAAAAATTGATTAATGTTGGAGTACGTAATGGACAGTCACATACAATAATTCGGTACAGTTGTCGTTGTATAGAGCAATATTTTTTTTGTGAATTTTTATTGATTGATAAACAATACTTTTTCATCGACGTATATTTAGCTTCCTCCAATAAATTATCAATGCTAATCTCATTGAAAACAGGAACATTTCTACGTTTATCGTTAACGAACGAATACTTATCTGCCTATTTTATTTTTCTTCTTATAAATTCAAATAATTACATACTATTTTTCATTTATTCAAAAAAGGAGGGAATTAATTGAAAAAACTAATTCAAATTGCTAACAGATTTAATGTTAATTCATTTCGTACAAATTTCAATAACAACTCATAAACTCCTGATTAGGGTATATTAGTTTTATATCGGTCAGGCCGTTGTTTTTAATGATTTGATCAATTTCTTCGCCTATTGCATCTGAGTACGCTCTGGTCCTGCTCCTCACATATAACAGCTCTGGAAAAACAAAAAATAGTTGAGAATCTTAGACACTAACGGTTAATTTTTACAAAAACGACATAGGTTAGTAGGAACCACCCCTTCTCAGGTATGAATAGATTAGACATGTTAGAGACAGAAACAGGAGTTGAAAGGAATAAAGGTAGACCTAAATTAGATTACTGTTCACAAATAATTTAGGATGTGGCATATGTATACTTGATTTTTCTTGTGTCTTTTTGCGACTTGTCTTTCCATTTTTCTTTATTAGTTACTCTTTTCATTAACATTAACATTAAAAAAAAAAAAATACTTTGTATCATTCTTACCTCTTCTGGAAGCGCTATTTAGATTGACGCAATTGTAATCAATGGTATAATACGTGTTAACGAACCCAAGGATTCTAAACTGCGTCACGCCTTCGGTATTGTTGAATTGTACATTTATAACCTTTTCCCCATTATAATTTCCCAGTGATACCACGCCTTCTAACTCTTGTTTTCCTAAACTTTTTTGTGTCAAAGTGAATTGCGATTCATCCACCGAACTTGTTCTTCTTCTAAAGCTTATTTCCTGGCAGGCGGCTGAGATGTTGGAAGTAATCACAGTGAACCATCTGCGGTAAACTTGATCACCTCCATACTATCGAAAAAGTTTTTAGTTGAGTTACTTTTATAAATAACAACAAAGCAATATTTGGGTTAAAAGCACGGCATTTATTTAAAAAACCACAGCCGACGTTTCGCTCAAGTTTTTGAGTTTTCTCAAGGCTAGTTTTTTATAGTTAAAAGTGTAATGCTGGTGGATTTGATTAAGTGGTACATTCTCTAAAATCGACAACCATTAACAAAAATTACTCGAGTTATACAAAGTTTTGAAATACAGGAAGGAACAATTAAAAAATCGATTAAAATTTTGCCTCGCTAAGTTGGCATCACTGTGATAGTTAAGTTTTCAATTTCATTTACTCAATTACATGGTAATATTTTCAATAAAAAAGCTCCTAATTCTTACTAAAGGTATTGAATAAAATGTCTTAATTTGAGAAAATATAGCCATTTTAGAAATTTCGGAAGATAAAATAAATATCACGTCTAACTAAAATTTAATAATAATTAAGTTAGTTATTAATTTCTAAAACCCCGAGCATTTGGGGTTTCGGGATAGCACTAAAAACCCAAGACTACACGTTCAGGCAACATTTTTTTCAATGCTTTATTGGATAATATTCTTAATTGCTCATTGATAAATTATAACAACTCAAATTTCATGAGACAAAGTGACAAGTAAAAACTAGTTTAATAAAAGTCAACTTACCACAGCGATTAGTGGGAACTGTTCTACTGGTTTTATTTTTCTGTCTTCACACTGACCTCGAGAGACATATTGTGAATAAGAAGATGAAATTAGTGCAAGAAAAACAATAGCAAAAAGTTGCTTAAACATTTTTACTAGATACTTTTAGCCTGTTGTTTGCAAAGAATAGTGATTCTGAAGTTTTTAGATGTATATATATATGTAGAAAAGTTGTTGAAAAAAATGATATTAATCGATCGTATCGAATAGTAAGTTGTTTATTCTCGGAAATCTTTCATCTTTCGAACACTTAGCGGTTGTAAGTGTATTTCAGGGAAAAATATAGTCCAGCCGGGTGATATGATACTAAGACGTTGTGTAGGTCAAAAATTGATGAATTTTACGATACGTAGGTAATTTATCGACCGTCAGTTTAACGATCGGCAATTTATAGAGCACTATTTGTTATGCCCTTTTTTGTATTTCTAAAGAAAATTTGATAAAGAAATGAAATTAAGTAATCGTATCGAACAATACGTAAGTTTCTTCTCGGAAATCTCTCAACCACCTCGCAACCTGAGGGAAGATAAAAAACATCAAAGGAACATTACAGACTTTGTAAAAAACGTATATTTCACACAAATGCTGGGTTCTTCACAAAGTTAGTTATGTTTGTATCGAGGATCTTAGGAAATGGTACAACAAGGAGAAGAAAGCTTTTAAATTTGCAGTACCCGCGGTATGGAGAGAGCAAAAGAATCATTCAAGTTCAATTCTAAAAATAAGATAATAAGTTATTGTGTATCCTAATCGTTCACTTAGTGCAGCTGATCGGCAAGACAGGGACCGGAACATTCTGTCCCTGTGCGGCCTGAGTCTATCGATGATGTGTTATAGCCCAGTCCAGAATTTAATGAAAGCCAATCGACTGATGACGAGTCCCAAGGAATTTTTCATGTTCTTTATATCAGGCACAGCCTACTAGGGCAAAGTCAGGCGTACCACATCAGGGTCAGATGGGTTAAAATGGGGAAATTCGTAATAGGGCTTGAATCAGGCAATTCAATCAGGACCTGATCAGGCATATCCTATTAAATATTTCTATATCAGTACTGGATCAGAACCACATTTCAGTGCCCTAATAAAACCCGGTCTGTTAGGGACTTCCCCAAGAAATTTCTGCTCGGGACTTAACCACTTGTAAAATAATTCAATGGTTATCCTTTTAGAGCGGTGTATTTTTTGTACATTTTTTAAATAAATAAAGGAAGAAAAATTGTGAAACAAATCAAATTAATAAATTTAATCGTATTTCGTTAAGTTTCGAACAATATAATAATTCTTTTTATTGAAAATGTACCGCTATCTCTAAACCTTCAGCGATTGATAAAAGAATTAATCTACTAGGTACCTAATTATCTTTTATTACAGAGTTGTATTTTTTATGGGTTTTTCATGAATTAAAAGTTAAAAATATTGGAAATATTGAAGTGTATCCGTGTGATAACTCACAAGTACCTTTGTAATTAATTTTATTGTCTTTTTAACCTTCTTTCGTATAAATGTTATGGTCAATGTCATTCAGGGTTAAAGATATAATGCTTTGATATACATGTGAAAAAAATTACAATTAATTTCCGGTACAATTTTATCGATTTCAGTATTTTTATATTTATCAATACTTGAAAATTGTATCTGTAAGTATATATTTTTGTTTAGATAAATGTTTTGTTCTTATCGTAATATTTTTAATAATGAAACGTATTATAAAAGATTTTATCATATATATGAAACATTTTGACATTTAAAAGTGGTTAATATCAAATATTAATTAAAAATTAATTTTCAATTTTTTACCTACTATAAACTGCCTGTATTTGTTATCTGTTATCACACCCTCACCGGAAACAGCAACAAATTTTTCTTCATTAACGTGAGGTAGTTCATAGTGGGTAAAAAATTAATTTTTACATTAATATTTAATGATTTTATCTATGTGGAGTCTTCCCGAGTGCTAAGCAATGGTCTAAACTCAAACTCAACTAAAATCAATAGATAATACAAATTATCACAAACGACCTATCGCAGTGCAGCCTTAATTACCAATTTTCATAGTCAAGGAACTCTAAATTGATATTATGTGAAAGAAAATTTCGGAAAAACGGTAGCAGCCACCCCAAAAAAGAAAGGCGCGGATAGATACGAGAAATTTAAAACAATTAAGAAGAATTATTAAGGGCAGATTAATTTGAATTTAGAAGAATTTAGGGATAACAATGGATAAATGAGGACATACATATAATTCATAGATCTACAGGAAAGCTTTCGACGATGTTCAATGGGAAAAGACACTTGAAAATATATAACTCGCCACTAATATAAAGAGAAGTTACTTAATAAATCTAATTAGCTAAGTCGATTGCTCATCTATCAAATTAATAATAAAAATAGTTTTCCTAGTAAATGTTTTATATACTTAGAATTCTATTTATTGAAGTATTACGTGGAAATTTTTTCAAGTGTATAACCATTACCTTCATTCATTCAGTTTAATAACGTATCATAATAATTTTATTATGATGTAAGTCACCTAAATGATTAAACACAAACTACTATCAGACTATCCGTCAGCTAACTTAACTGTATGTAATATAAAATAATAACACCGATTTCACCGTATTTTGTGCTTAATAAGAAGTGCAAACGAAAATCGAATTTTTCTTCAATCCGTTTCAATAATTAATTCAGATTATCGAAGTTGTACTGTATTTTGTATTAACTTCTTTTACTATTACTTTTATAAATTGCAGTACTTTTTGTATTTTTTATTTATCTAAAAAAAAGTCAAAAACACTCAATCACATGCTAATAAATCTGATATTGATTAATTTTATACATTTACAAATTCTACTGTTTTTTTTTTTACGTTGAGCAGAGTGCTGGGTCCTGTACAGCGTATGTCAATGGTAAATCGGCAAGACCATTATCACTAATAATTTTCTGTACTTTAGCTGCTTGTTGTGGTGTGAAAGTTGTATTCCTGCTTCTCCCATATATTGTTTCTAGAAATACAATTCTATATATAGATACCAAAAATGCATATCTCAAAGCTAACGATTGACTATTACAAAAAATATGAAGATTAACCGTACACATTATTAAATAAAAATAAAACTAAAATACTGGTATGCAAGGGAAAAAAGATTAGGGAAAGAGTGAATATAAAAACAGGACGCAAAAAGTTGGAAGATGTGATTGATTTTCGGTATCTAGGAAGTTAGATAAGTCAGGACGGAAGGAGTAATAGGGATTTAAAGCAGAGGATAGCGTAGGGTCGAGTCACCTTTACAAAAAGAAGTCACTTGTATGTAGAAATTCGAAAAAGATTGTTAAAGGTGTATGTCTCCACGGGTGTGAAACGTAGACAGTGGGCATGGTGGAAAAGAAAATGTCAGAACTTTCGAATGATAAGGATACTATGGAGAGAGAAGGTTAGAAATGATGAGGCATTAGAAAGAATAGGAGAAGAAAGGACTCTACAGAAGTCAATAAGAAATAGGCGAGATAGGTTGGTAGGATGTCTTCTCAGTCATGAAGCGCTAGTTAGGGATACTTATTAGAAGTATAGGGTTGTTCGGAAAGTCATTTCGTTTTTTCCCGACAGAGGATTCAATTGTATTNATTATCAATGCTAATCTCATTGAAAACAGGAACATTTCTACGTTTATCGTTAACGAACGAATACTTATCTGCCTATTTTATTTTTCTTCTTATAAATTCAAATATTTACATACCTACTATTTTTCGTTTATTCAAAAAAGGAAGGAATCAATTGAAAAAACTCATTCAAGTTGCTAACAGATTTAATATCAATTCATTTCGTACAAATTTCAATAGCAGGTCACAAAATCCTGAATAGGGTATAATAGTTTTGTATTGGCCAGGGCGTTGTCTTTGATGATTTGTTCAACTTCTTTAGCTATTGAATCCGAGTAATCTCGGGTCCTGCTCCTCGCATATAACAGCTCTGGAAAAACAAAAAATTGTTGAAAATACTAGACATTAACGGTTAATTTAAAAAATAAGACCATATAGGTTAGTAGGACATCTTTTCAGGCATAAACGACCAGTCAAAGACATGTTAGAGGCAGAAACAGCAGTTAAAAGGAGTAGAGATAGACCTAGATTAAATTACTGTTCGCAAATAGTTAAGGATGTCGCAAATGTATACGTTATTCTTCTTGTGTCTTTTTGCGACTTGTGTTTCTTACCTCTTCTGTGGGTGCTATTTAGATTGACGCAATTGTAATCAATGGTGTAATACAAGTTACGGAACCCAAGAATTCTAAACTGCGTCACGCCTTCAGTTTTGTTGAATTTTACATCCAAAACCTTTTCACCATTATAATTTCCCAGTGATACCACGCCTTCTAGCTCATTTCTTCCTAAACTTTTTTGTGTCAAAGTGAATTGCGATTCATCCACCGAACTCGTTCTTCTTCTAAAGCTTATTTCCTGGCAGGCGGCTGAGATGTTGGAAGTAATCACAGTGAACCATCTGCGGTAAACTTGATCACCTCCATACTGTCGAAAAAGATTTTAAAATTAATAAATCGACTTAAAAAAAATGAATGTTTCGCGACGCTAAGTGATAGTTTTCAATATCATATATTCAATTACATCATAGTATCTACAACAACAAAGTTGCTGATTGTAACTGAAGGTATTGAATAAAATGTCTTAATTTGAGAAAATATTCATGATAAAGACATGGCAAACTCAGCCATTTTATAAACATCGGAGATAAAATATCACGTCTAACTAACATTTAATAATAATTCAGTCATCAAATTCTAAAAAAAACCTCACATTTTGCAAGCCCGAACCCTTGGTAGCACTAAAAACCCAAGACTAACGTTCAGGAAACTTTCCAATGGTGTATTGGCTAGTATCCTTAACTGCTCATTGTTAAATTACAACAACTCAAATTTCATGAGAACAAAGTGACAAGTAAAAATTATAAAAGCACGGCATTTATTTAAAAAACCACAGCCGACGTTTCTCTAAAGTTTTTGGGATTTCTTAAGGCTAGTTTTATGTAATTAAGAGTGTAATGCTGGTGGATTTGATTAAGGGGTACATTCTCTAAGATCAACAACCATTAACAAAAATTAGTCGAGTTATACAAAGTTTTGAAATACAGGAAGGAACAATTAAAAAATCGACTTAAAAAAATGAAAATTTCGCTGCGCTAAGTTGGCATTACTGTGATAGTTAAGTTTTCAATTACATTGTAATATCTTCAACAAAAAAGCACCTAGTTGTTACTGAAACGTACTGAATAAAATATCTTAATTTGAGAAAATATTCATGATAAAGACATGGCAAACTCAGCCATTTTATAAACATCGGAGATAAAATATCACGTCTAACTAACATTTAACAATAATTTCGTCATCAAGTTCTAAAAAACTGTACATTTGGCAAGCTCGAAGCCGCCCGGATAGCATTAAAAACCCAAGACTACACATTCGGGCAACTTTTTTGACTAATATTCTTAATTGCTCATTAAATTATATTAACTCAAATTTCACCCGAACAAAGTGACAAGTAAAAATTAATTTAATAAAAGTCAACTTACCACGGCAACTTGCGGGAACTCTTTTACAGGTTTTATATTTCTGTCTTCACACTGGCCTCGAGAGACATACGTATTGTGAATAAGAAGAAAAAATTAGTGCAAGAAAAACAATAGCAAAAAGTTGCTTAAACATTTTTACTAGGTACTTCTAGTCTGTTGTTTGCAAAGTATAGTGATTCTAGATTTTTTTAGATGTATATATATGTTCGGAGTCAAGACCGACCTTTTTGATGCAGGTCATAAAGTTCTTCCTGCATACAATTTTTAGAATGTTTGCAAATTTACAGGGCGGTATGGTAGTAGACCCTTAGATGCATCGGTACAATGTTTAAATTACTTTATTGAGGTAACGGTTGAAGAAGGATCCTTTACGATTCCAATTTAGTTTCAAGTTTATTATGGGGTGATTTTTTATGAGCCTAACGGTTAAAAGTACCGTTTGTTGATTTTTTGATGTGCCGATCCTTTCTCAGATTGTAAACTTCCCTCTTTCCACATATTTGAGTTTTGAAAGCCCCGCCTTGTACGTCTCCACAAAGTTGTTTAAAGGGTTAATCACCAATGGTGACATTCGCCACACCCTTGGCATTTGTTCCTAGTTTTTAAGTTGTAGATATAAGATGTGACCAAGGACTTCAAAAGAAGCACTTGAACTAAGTCAGCACAAAACAAGGAGCACTTGTATAATCATTAGTAATCAATCGTTGGAGATACTCTGTACATATATTGTAAATACATAATTAAGTCGACTTCGCTGCAAGAGTTATATTTTTTTCTACCTTCCACCAAAGAATTAAACAACACGCCTTATTAATTTAACGCGTGTGCTGATATTCCACTTACAATAGTAAGTTCCCGAATATCTGCCTGTGAAATTTAACA